AAACTAAAAGTAACTTATAAGACGTACTACATATGTGGTCGGTCTCTAGCCACATACATAAGAAAAAAGATTATGAGAATACATTAATTTGTAGTTACACAGTAAACAATGTATATTTGAGTACAACAATTTTTTTTCTATTAAATAGCCTCAAAAATGATTTACTGTGCCTTAAAACTTATATAAGGTTTTTTGCAATTAATTGACATGCGTACAAGTCACTGAAGAGAATGAAACATACCATTCATTGATATATGGTTAGTAAATACATTAGACTGTTGATTAGCCAACAGGATCCTGGAATGTTGCCTAGCGACCATGGCTGGTCGCTAGGCGTGCTATATACAGTGATGCCCGATGAGCGGTTCTGTGGACAGGGCTTTAGATTCACCCAGAGCACAAAGAAACACGTATTTATATAGCACCACACAAATCAGTTTTTAAGAGCCTATTTACAAGAAGAGACAAAAAGAAAAGATTAAAACTAGCCTATATGGAAACACTTAGAATTTGGGTTTTAACTCAAGAAATGTTAATCAATCAAAGAAAGCTATATGAAGAAAGTAGGTCTCAAATGTAAAGTATGAGGAAATAAACTTATTCTCATTTTTTGAGCAGTTAGATGAGCAAACTAACAAGGAGTTTGGCTGCTTTTCACTAGCCAGAACAAGCAACCCATCCAGTACCACAGCGACTTAGAGATGCACCTTTCTAATAAGCTAGCTAGCCACTGGACATTAGCTGAAAATGTCAAACCTCCAAAGTCTCATTTGGAGAAAATGGAGAAAAAAAGTAATTTAATAAAGAGTTCATTCATCATTGGCTGCTGTGTAGTACTCAACATTTGTCTGCCTGTTAGCGGCTTTTCTTTAAATACACACATACTGCTACTATGGATGTGCTGTTTCCATTAAGTTTTTCTCACACTTTACATATTCCGCTGTAATGAATATTTCATCTGTGGGTTGGTTTGCTTGGATGATTCTAAACAAAAACATTCAATTAATGGCAATAAAACATGTTAGTGATGAAAAAAGGAATCAGTGGCATCAAATGAAAATATCAGAGACAGAGAGCATTGTGGGTAATTGAATACATGCTGAGTTTGTTCTTGCACTACAAACAAGCTCCTTCCAACTTCTGAAAAAAAATCTAAGTAATGTAGGATCAATATTCCTCTCTCATGAGGAGCTATAGTGGAAAGACTAATTGAGTTGAATTGTGCTGACAGTTACAGTAACTCACCTCATTACAGTGGTAAAATGCAACACGTCGACTGATTTCTGCACATTTAGCTAAATTACTGTGAAAGGATTCATCTGCTGCCACTTTTTTAAAGCTAAGCATCGCAGTGTGGTAATGTGTAGTGCAGAGGTTAAATATGAAATCAGTCAGGCTTGTGTAAAGCTAAAACCCATCCACCAGATAATGTGCACCAAAATGCAGGGATCCATTTTTATCAATTCAGACAAGTCGAAAAGAGAATTACATACTTGTCATTGGGTGACATCAGTCCTGGGGATTCAGTGATTTTCTTCTGTCGGTAAAGAGAAGCGTGGAGTGTGACAAGCACCCTGTCCTGATCCTTATCTCTTTAGTGAATCTTTTTGGATACGAGACAGGCTGTCAACTCTTTGAAGCAACCTTTGCAATTTCAAGGTGGCAGATTAAAGAGACAGGAAGTCAGTGATGTAAGATGCTGACCTACTGGCTGCGTGGACACAATAAACGAGGCATTAGAAGGAAGCACTCTAAAGCATAAACGCCAAGTGTGCTTGTAGTAGTTTATTCACAGTGTGGAGTGTTTACTAGTTAACAGCGAAATGACGCCAAAACGCGGCCATTTTTGGTTATAAGGAAAAGGAAGTTTATATGTGATAACCAATAGGGTCTTGTGCCTGGAAAGCCTATCAGACCAACATGGATCAATTTCAAAACAGCCTTTTCTTACATGAATTCAGTCAGTTGGTTTTTCATGCAGTCTTTAGTGTAGGAACACTATAAATGGGAAATAACAGCAAAGAATGCAGAAAGGCTCTTCATTCGAGGCTAAGGTTACATGGATTGATTTGGTTGTATCTGACTTCCTGCCAAAATGATCAAATCGGATGGGTCGAGCAGATTTTCTTTGTACCGCATGAATGTAAAGGAACCAAATGCAAAACGACAGGGCCAAGAATCCTCTTCAGTTTCTCTGATGTTACAGTGAGCACAGAGCGCACCTTTATCATTTCATAATGTTGGCTCAAAGGGAACCCAACGTTTGAGACGCCACCATGCTGCTGCAGTTCAACAAACTTTGTATAATGAAAGTAGAGTTACTTATAAAGAACACAGCAAAATAATGAGATAAGAGCCCTCGCTACACCAAAGAAAAGAGGAAGAAGACAATCAACAAACCAAACAAAAGGCCATCAGATTCTGGCTTTTCCCTGAATCAATATTAGTGAGCTAAACTAATAGAACCAAAACTGAAAACAAGACTGGCAGAGTCTCCCAACTCAACTCATAATTAACAAACAAAACTGCAAAAGCTACAGAAAGAGAAAGTTGATGGCAGTGAGGAGAGAAGAGAGAGGGACCAAGACGTCAACTGGCAACCTGTGCATGTATGTCCTCAGTCAGATACCAGATACACTGTGATCAGATCCTTCGTTTCTTCTGCTCACCAAAACTAATTTTGAACCCTTGGGTTTGCTTGCTAGCTTTTATTTTTCCCTACAACCTAATGACACATTACTTAATGACTTAATTAATTAGTGCAGTCAGTGACTGTTCCCATGGAATATGCACTGGAGTTCAATAAGGTAGTTCTTCCACAAAATGCACTGAAATGCTCCGAAAATTTGAGAAAACTGGTAGAAACATGTTCTGTCCGTCATTCTGTTGTTCTAGCTATGATAGGTATTGAAGGTAACTGTGATGTTACATGTTTATAACACAGAAATTAAACCAAAATATAAAAAATAATTGTGTAATTGTGTAATTCTACAGGTGTGTTCATAGAGTCTGTTTTGCATTTTGTGGGAATTTGTCAGAAAACAGGACACGAGATGAACGTTATTGGAGGTAAACATACTTTTTTTTCAGTTGATATAGATATTCTATTATATGTGTAGCTGTGCGCTCCATATTGATTTTTTTATAGTCCATCAAAACAGATGTTGTTGGTGTGCTTCCCATGATGCCTTCAGGTTTTCAGAGCATTGCAATCACAAGCAGAGATGGAGTGTTGTTTGCGTGCAGTGCGAGCACTCCTCAATAAAGCTACGTGAACATGGCAGGATGTGAATTGTGCTATTTTAGTGAATGATACAAACATAACAGAGACCCATTTATTGAAGACCTTTACCTGAGGGCTGCTGGTTTTTCATATACGTGGCTAAACAGAAAAATGGGAACTAGGAACTACGGGTTGCACACAGTAAGTAGAGGAGCTTATGTTAGTGCAGGAAAGATTAGCCCAGTAATTGATGAGCAGTAGACGTTAATTAACTAATTTAATGCTCAGTGAATGCGGCAAGTCATTCATCAAGCAGATCTGGCAAACCATTACTAAAAGCTCATTCGTGACCATGAAACAGGCTTTGGAAAAGAAAAAACAATCTTAACTCAGGGTCCATTTACTGGATGTTTGCTGTTTAGCCCTAATGCAAACTGACTGGGTGAGGAATTGGACTAGTGTGTAACACAAGTCGTTTGAAGATGTCCTCTTGGTTGATGGAAAATTATTGTTTTTTATTGATTTGTGAAAATCCACTCATGAAATTCAAGTAATCAATTAATCAACTGAAATAACAAAATCTGTTGCTTTTTTTGAGTGTTGCAAATTGTTGCAAATCCTGTTGTTGCTGATTGCCGCAAGTTCCTTATTCATGTCTGTGGTTCTCAGGTTCACTTCCAAAGGGTTTTCTACCCCTTTGTAATTAGGAGAAATATCATATTTCGATAGAGATGACAGCAATTTCTAACAATTTGGACTATTTCACCATCTCACTGGGACTTTCTACATGAATTGCAGCCTTACGGTGAGGTTGTGATTAAAAGGATAGTTCAAAACCGCAGACCTGCAGATTATTAGCATCCATTATTCATGAACTTTGTGGCGATTTATTCATGTATCGTGGTGAGACCCGGCCCCATCACTCAAGTGAAAGGAGAAAAAAAAATACTCCTCTCACTGCACAATCCACAGCCAATAAATGACAACACTTTTAAATGGCTTGCTGTGCCTATGAAGTTGTGCTCATCCTCTCGTAAAGATAAGACAACGTGAAGTGATGTGATGAAACTTTAATGAACCTTGTGGGAAAACATAACATTACAGTTTGCATCGCAGCAGCCAATAGGATGCAAATAGAGCAATATAAAGGTTAAAGAAACAGACCCAGCCCTGGGTCAAGGCTTGAACATTTGTCCTTTCATTCACATGTTTTTAGATGCCTTTTGATTTGTGGACAGTTGTCACGCTTGAGGGAGTCAAAGGAAGCAAAGTGAATTGTCCTGCAGAGCCAGTATACCGCTGGTGCTCAATGAAGACATAATTCCATTTTCATTTGGTTGGATCACGTAAAATCTAACACGATAGAGGCTGCTGAGCCAGTGACAGCTTACTGCTTGGAATTAATGATGAAAGCCTCACAATGTAGTGCTGATTCTGAATGTGAAAATCAAACGCATGTTGCAGTTACATCTTATTAGTTACTGAAAGTGGATGTCTTTAGCCCCCTGCCAGATTTATTTTAAACCCTGCTGATTTGTTAAGTCTGCCCTAACTAACAACAAAATGATCAGTCTATAATTTAAATGATAGGTTTATCTGAACAGTGAGACACAGAACAATGACAAAAAATCCAGAAAAATGCATTTCAAAAAAGTTACAAACTTCTTCGCATTTTCATGAAGGAAATAGGTAGTTGATCCTCAATATCAATCAGCAAGATTTCTGGCTCACAGGTTTATTTTACGCAGGTATCTATTCAGATTCTAAACTCTGCACCATGTACAAGTCCAAAGCACTTTCCAAGGATGTCAGTGACAAGAATGTGGACCTACACAAGGCTGGAATGAGCTACAAGACCATCGCCAAGCGGCTGGGTGAGAAGGTGACAACAGTTGGTGCCATTATTCGCCAGTGGAAGAACCACAAAATAACTGTTAATCTCCAGCGGTCTTGAGCTCCATGTAAGATCTCATGATAATGAGATAATAAGAGCAGTGTGGAACCAGCCCAGAACTATTCAGGAGGAACTTGTCAATGATCTCAAGGCAGCTGGTACCATATTCACCAAGAAAACATTTGGTAACACACTACGCCGTGAAGCACTGAAATCCTGTAGTGCCTGCAAGGTCCCCCTGCTCAAGAAAGCACAGGCCCGTTTGGAGTTTGGCACTGAACATCTCAATGATTCAGAGGGGGACTGAGTGAAAGTGTTGTGGTCAGATGAGACCAACATTGAGCTATTTGGCATCAACTCAACTTTAGAGGAGGAAGAATGCTGCCTATGACTCCAAGAACCCTGTCCCCACCGTCAAACATGGAGGTGGGAACAGTATGCTTTGGGGTGTTTTTCTGCTAAGGGGACAGGACTACACTGCATCAAAGGGAGGATGGATGGGTCCATGTACCGTCAAATCTTGGGTGAGAACCTCCTTCCCTCAGCCAGGGCATTGAAAATGCATTGTGGGTGGGTATTCCAGCATGACATGACACGACCAAGGCTGAAGAAGAAGCTCAAGAAGAAGCATAATAAGGTTTCGGAGTGGCCTCCAGACCTTAATCCCATAGAAAATCCGTGGAGGAAGCTGAAGGTTCCAGTTGCCAAACATCAGCCATGAAACATTAATGACTTGGAGAGGATCTCCAAAGAGGAGTGGGACAAAATCTCCCCTGAGATGTGTGCAAAACTTGTGGCCAACTACAAGACACATCTGACCTCTGTGATTGCCAACAAAGGTTTTGTCACCAAGTGCTGAAGCACGTTTTGCAAAGGGGTCAAATACTTTTTGAAGTTTTTTGAAATGTATTTTTCTGGATTTTTTGGCTATTGTTTTGTCTCTTACTGTTCAAATAAACCTACCACTGAAATTATAGACTGATCATTTCTTTGTTAGCAGGTAAACTTACCAAATCAGCAAGGGTTCAAATTATTTTTTCCCTGAGTAGTATATGTTCCCCTGATGTGATGGGATCTGAATGCGTTAGCTTTGTGTCTGACTGAACACTTTAAAGCAGGGGTGTCCAACTCCAGGCCTCGAGGGCCGCTGTCCTGCAGGTTTTAGAGATCACCCTGGGTCAACACACTTGAATCAAACGACTAGTTCATTACCAGGTCTCTGGAGAACTTCAAGACAAGTTGAGGAGGTAATTTAGCCATTTAAATCAGCTGTGTTGGATCAAGGACACATCTAAAACCGGCAGGACACCAGCCCTTGAGGCCTGGAGTTGGACACCCCTGCTTTAAAGGTCACGACAGCAATCACAACTATCCATGCCTCACCTGTCAAATCAAGTAAAAAAAATGCAATAAGATTAAAACAATCCTCTGTGATCCAGAAGAAGGCTTCTTCCCTTTGACCCTGTGTGAGAGGGGCATAGCAACATCTGCAGCATCCGACATCCACACATTGCTCAAATGATGAAGAGAATGGAATTTAACTCAACTCAACTCTACTCAGTTTTATTTATATAGCAGCAAATCACAACAACAGTTGCTCCAAGGTGCTTTATATTGTAAGGCAAAACCCCTAAAATATTAGAGACAAACCTTAACAATCGGATGAGAGCTATGAGGAAGGACTTGTTGGAAGGAGGGGAAAAGTCCCTTTTGAACTGGAAGAAAACTCTGGGCGAACCAGGTTTGGATGGAATAGAATGTTTAAAGGTATGTTTACCCTCCTGTAGTTAAAAAGTTGTTATTATGAGGAACATTAATGTAAAAGTAGCCCATGTGAGCATGGCAAAATGCTGTCACATCTCTGAAATGGGCAATCTTTGGCTAATGAAACAGCTTCAAAAAGCAGAGGACTCTTCTCCATCAAAGGAATAATTCATACTTGCAGTTAAGGGGGACAGAATCTCTCACGTGGCAGAGGTGATCAGCATTAACCTGCAATGTCTTGGGTTCAAAACCGGACCGTCTAATCACTCTGTACTTGTTACTGCAGACAAACTTTTTTTCATAGTTTGCTTTAAAAATGTTATTTAATTTGTCTATTTATAGGGAGGACATTACTATGAATATGCCAGCTTGAATCAACTTTCATCTTCACTCCTTTGGCAAGATGCTCTCCAGCCAATTAAGCTTAGAGTTAAGTCACAGAAGCAGGATAAAAGCAGCGATACAAAGAGCTTTTTTTCTCACACTAAAAAGTAATGTCATGCTGCACACACTCATAAGGCACAATTTATCCCACAGTGTTTCATAAAATACTTGTAAATACACCCACACAGAGACAAGCACAGCTATTAGGCAAACAGCAGAGGACATGGGGCAAGTTGGTAATAAGATAGCAAAACAATAATGACAAAAGATCAAAAATACAGCATTTTAATGTGCACACTGAAGTCACATAACAGTAGCAGCTGCGGTTCAACAGCTTGGGCTTTCAAGTGTGTAGTTAAATTAAATACTATCAAACACACCTTATTATTAAAAGCACTGAGTCAAATTCTAAAATCTGGGTCATTTATGTGGGTCTTTAAGTTTTGCAAACATTGAAATTCAAAATATGCATCTGTGTGGGAGGACAACAGTCACTTCAAAGTGTTTTAAATTGCAAGATAAAGACCCTAAAATATTAGAAAGAAACCCCCACAATCAGACGGCGACAGTGGGAAGGAAAAACTCTCTTTTTAACAGGATTCAGTAAGGGCTGTCTCAGTGTTCACTGTGGCACAAAGATGCGTTTTAAGCCCGCTGTTTGTGTCCTGCTTCTACTCCTGATGAGCAATGCTTGCCTTAAAGGTGATGTGCTACATTCTGTGCGCAGGCTCTGCTGTAAACCTCCAGACTTCTCGCATGTCTCTGTGTTTAATCAGAGGACTCAGTCAGCACATGGCCAGCCCCGACCTTGTCCTGTCAGATACTCTCATTCTCAAACAGACTCGCTGTGGCAGGCTGGTGTTAGTGAAGGGAGCATCCCAAAAACCCTCTGGCTGGGCCATCCAGCACCCACTGATGCTTAGCTGTATGGCAGCGCTGAAAGAAGGAAATCTTATGAAACACACTGTAGATGACTGTTTCATTATATTCTTTTTTTAAGATCTCAGTGCATGCCACCACATGTCTGTATGATCAATTTGTATAATTAAACCAGTCTACGTTTTTGCTCAACCCTGTATCTGTATCTGAGCCTTTGTAGTCACTATGCATTTTGGGTCTTTGTTTTCATAAGCATGTAGTCATTATCTTTGTTTTTGTAGTCATGACAATCTCAACTGATATTTTTTTCCCTTTTTTGTAACTTTGTTAGCATCGTTCAGTTGTCATTTACCTTCTAATCAGTGACTTTGTGTCTATTTTCAGTCATTATGCATCAGTTTGTAGTCATTTATGTCTCTTTATGATTTTTTTGTCATTTGTATCTCTTTTTAGTTGCTTTTGCGTCTCACTGTAGTCGTTTTGATGACTGTGGCCTGGAATTACATCTGGCTGTTGCTCAAATCTTGCTCCTCCTCCTGCCCCTACAAACTGAAAGGATATTATTGTTGATGAAAAGAGAACTGTTTAATTTTGATCTTGTTTTTCCAGTTTGGGTTGTATTCCCAAGTAAGCCACCTGACACGGTCGGCTCCGTGCTTGTGATATTGTCTTCATCTTTTTCTTGAAGACTACTACTAATGCTTTCATTCACAGGGTGAGGAGAGGAATATTGACATTAGCACGATTTAAGATGTTGATTAAGCCAAGTTATTCTGCCTTGTAATAGAGTTTGGTGTTGTTTATGTGCTCAGTCTTATTTCCCAGGGGAACAACCTGATCCAGGCTGTTGTCTTCATGTATTGATGCAACTATCTCCTTTTAAATTTTCTTATCTTGATGTTTTCTTTTTATTAATTCATATCTAATTTAATACAAGGGTTGCATGAATAATTAAAGTATTACTTGCATCTGCATGCAAATGAATAAAACTGCTTTTGAATTAATTTGGGTGTATAGATCCTGGTGAAAGACGTTTGTCAGCCAGCCAGTTCAATTAATGCACCCGTGTTCATCTTATGCTGCTTTTATTTGCTTTTATTCTTTGTTTATTACTGTTACAAGTACAGTTTCTTCTCTCCCAGGACTAAAGTAGCACAAAATAGCTCCTCCTGGAAACTGAGCTTTTGTTAAGAGAAGCTTACAATATTCCTCCCTATAACTGAAAATGCCCTGTGTCTCTTTGTGTCTATCAGAGATGGACTCCTTGCGTATTTTGCTCTACTCGCTCATCTTCCTGCTCAGCGTCTTCGGCAACCTCCTGATCATCGTGGTCCTGATGCTGAACAAGCGCATGCGGACGGTCACCAACTCCTTCCTGCTGTCGCTGGCGGTCAGCGACCTGATGATGGCCATTTTCTGTATGCCCTTTACACTCATCCCCAACATGCTAGAGGACTTCATCTTTGGAGCCACCATGTGCAAGATTGTCACCTACTTAATGGGTGAGCATGAGACTTTTGATACCAAACCTGAGCTGAACTGTACACTTTTAGTATATGAGGCATTTAAAGAGATCCACTTCCTGTGCTGTTTTTCAAAGAAGGGATCATCTGACCTGTGTGTTTGTAGGGACTATTTTAGGGTCTTTATCTTACAGTATAACATGCTCTGAGCAACTGTTTTTATAAACTGGTGCATAACTGAACTGCAAAGCTGCCTCATTATAAGAGCACAACACATCAAAAGCCATGATTGACAGTGAGGCGGATTGCTGTAGGAAGGGAAAATGGATCACTGTCTTGTGTGCAGCAAACAACAGCAGCTAAACTCCAGTGCAGAAGTCTCACACTCTAAAGAAATTAGTAAAAACAAAACCCACTGTAGTCACTACAATAAATGCTACCTGTTTAATGGATTTAGCTGAATGGGAGATGTGACATTTATTTGCCTGTGATGATCATCTATCGGCAGAGTGGAGCTTGTAAACCAAACAAACCCTCTGAGAGTAACTTGAAAAAGAGTTTTACAAGATGGAAGCAAGCCATATGCTAGCAGAGTGTAATCAAAAGCAGAGGAAAAGAACCAAAGAAGTTGTTGTAAGCAAATATGAATACAGGTGGGCCTTGGCTCTATACTCATTGCTCGTGCTCCAGAGTTGCTGCCAATTTTTTTGGATGCTTCAGCCATTGTGTGCTACTTGGAAGGTCAGTGGTTTATTCCCCAGCTCCTCCAGGCTACATGTTGAAGTGTACTTCCGCAAAATAATAAACCCCAGACTTTATGAATGGGTGAATGTGGTTTGTAGTCTAAAAAGTGTTTGAGTGCTCAGTTAGAGTTGAAAGGCACACACACACACACACACACACATATACATACATATACATAAATAAATAAAAATAAATAAAAGCACCAGTTCATTTACAATTCACGTGCACTACAGAAAAGGAGCCTGATGTTAATGTGACAGCTGGTAATCAGGGGATGAACGGCATCTGACACCCTTATTAAGAGTTATTAAATCAGCCAGTGTGTTGTATAATATTGGTATTCCTTCCGGGCAATCCCATGCACTTACTCGTCTAACAAATCAGAAAGTAATGTCACCCCACAGTCTCACCTGCATACTCTACACATTCTTTTTTTCTCCTTCTCATCCCTGCCATGCATTCATACAGACACCAATAAAATTGTGATCAAGTAGCTCAAGCAGGGTTTGATTTATTTTCCAGGAAAGAAAGATGTATGAAAGAGAGGACAAGAGAGGATACTGCATACATATTTCTATGTCTGTTTCTTCTTTTAGAGGAGAACTTCAGGTTGTTGGTTCACACAACAGAATTTTGATCAAGTTTCAAATGGTGACAGAAAGTTAGGTTAATAACACAGCGTGAAAAGCTGTGGTATAAACAATTCATGAATTCAATTACTTTATGCAAATGAAAAGTTATTGATTTATTTATTTTTGCATGGAATAAGAAAAGTAAAAAGGCCACTTTTGTACGTGTAACTGTTGTGTTCCTGCTCTGTGTCTAACAATGAATGGTAAAAGAAACACAGACCTCCAAGTCATTAACTTGCCCGCTCCAGGTCCTACAACCAAATACAAACAGTAGGGAAGAGGGTTAGCTTAACCCACCACAACTTCCAAGCCAGCAAGAATGATCTATTCATGCTAGCATAGACTGTGCCTATAACACGTATGTGGCAGACATGTACTACACATTTACAGCATCTAGCAAAGACAGGCACAGTGATGACAATAATTGAACTAAAAACACAATCAGAAACATCAGGGTGGCTAAATATAAATTATATGTGTGTTTTACAGTGCTGGGAAAGAAATGACACCAACCTCTCCCACAGGGGAATTGTAGAAAAGGGGAGAGGCCAAAGGGGTACCCTGTATTTATAGGGTTGCACCGAAGAAGAAGAATGAGGAGGGGCCCTAACTGATAATGAACATAACTACAGGCTTGGAGGTCCTAAAAATCAGGTATAAAAGGAAAGGTTTGGGGTCTAGAACACATTTTGTGTAATTATAACAACATGTAATTTATGACCTGGTTACATACGGATTGGGCTCATTATTTCAGAAATCTTACACAACTAGCACAACCAGAATAAGGGAGAGTTTACATTAATGTGATTATTATCATGTTCTTTTTTTAAATTAAATATATGAGATCCATTTGGTCATTGGGCTTTATGTGTTTTATTCTTCTAAAAGAGAAATCTGGCCTTCTTTTGTGACTCACAGCTGATCAGACACTGTGATCCTCCTGCCTAAAATTGCTTGATATTTAACAAGGGTCTGTCTCGCAAAGAGGCTTTTCTCTGGGCTTCTTTTAACCATCACTCTGAAAGTGCTCGAACAGTCACACATCTTCAGGAGTGTGACTTAGCGATGAGCTGGCTCTCATCAGGCCAGAGTTGAGGTGCCACGTGAGGCCTGAGTCAGACTGAAAGCAAAAGAGAGTGCCACGAAACTGAGATGGACTGCAGTACTTTGTCTCTTTGCTCCACTTTGAGCTTTTGAATGGTCGAGAAACGATATCGAACGGTCAGGATCGCAATCCTATTATTGTTTCAGAAATGCAACGCTCCATCTGTGAGGACAGGATTGCCGAATCTCCTTTTCAATTACTGGGCTCTCTCAGCTGTGATAAGGAGGAAGAGAGCAGGAGGGGCAGCTGCTTTGGACTTAAAATACAAACTTTTGGGTTTTTTGATCA